AAAACGAAGAAGTGAAATTATCATTCAACGAGTGCCGACCTGATCAGCCATCCTCGAATCAGTTCGCTTGCTTCTGCTTATATATGCATATTTTAAATCAGCGCGTCGCATTCTAAGGTTTTTTTTAAAAAAACCAAGTAACGTAGACTCTTGGTATTCACTATGCACATAAACTAATGAGCCCCAGAATGAGAAACAACTTTAAATCACAATTATTGACGGATAAATAAACTTTTTACACGCTTTGGAAAATCTCAGAAGTTCGCGGTAGTCACTTTTCGGTAAGGAACTAAGGGACTCGGTTATTGTATCGAGTGGGGGGTCGAAACGATCGCAAAGGCGGTATACTACGTATACGCGCCAAAAATATACCATCATCTGCAATTTGTGCTATATACTTAGTCATCAATTCAACCTCATTCTTTAAAATTGATTCGGCAAAGTGGACATGAATGGCTTTTACGTAGTCATTTCACTTTATTTATTTCATGATTTTCATACCTATCGTAGAAAGATTGTGTCATTTTTAAATACGACAAGTTTTCTCTTTTCATTGTGCCAACACAATTGAGAATTATCTTCATTCTGACAAGGGCCCTTCATTAATGTATTATTATGGACCTTTGGGTCCAGATCTTAATAAAGGTATAGAATATTCGGATATGGTTAGTCCAATTCATTGAAAAAGTAGTTCAATTCGTTTCAAATTGTGATTAACTTGCTCTGCGGTTTCAGGGACGGTGATAAAGGCCGGTTCAATTTCTTGCCAAGAGATATCCTCGAAAGTAACACAAGTTTCCAATCATAAAAACATGCCCTGCTCTTCAGTTTCCAGCTGGACGCGCTGGTGCCAATCACGCAGTATTATTCTTGTAAAATGTAGATTTAGAGCACTGTTGTTTCTATGTATGGAATTAGTATGATGATTACCTAATAAAAAGAGTATATAGAAGGCTCCGATTTCCGTAGGCCACTGTAGGAATACAGAAGCATCTGTTATTTCATAAGTTTGTAAAAAGTTCCCTGCCTCTACATTTTTATAGTGATATGAAACCTAAAACTTATTAAACATCGATGTAAGTAAATATTTTTCTGAATTTTTCCCGAAATATAATAAACCCGAAAGAAGTAAGTTTTTTCGAACTTGATATACAAAAGATAGAGACGCCAGAGAAGGGGCAGCGGAAACGGAGGACAGCGGGGGCGGGTTGGAGGGGTGAAAGGAAGGGAGGAAGATAGGGGAGAACATATTATCTAGGGAGACCAGTGGCTGCAAATTTCTTTCAAGTTTACACATACTAATAAATACACATTGACAGTATATTTTTGTTCTTAATCCTCCAAAACATCCAAATTTAAGTAATTCATTAAGTCATCGTTTGTTGTATTTTATATCATGATTTTCAAATTACGCCACTATTGTCCTTTACCCAAGAAAGCAGAAAATAAAATGATGAAATTCTTCACTTATTCACACAATTGTTTACTTCTCTAGAATGAGTGGATTGGTATGTCGTTAGGTATACCAAAATTGATCCTACCTCTTATTTAGAGCATGGTTTGTTAGTTAAAGAAGGCATAATTTCGGACGTAATTTTGGTTATACAAAATCATTCTTCATGAACGTAAGTTATTTATGTGAGTCATTAGGATACAATATACAGGGTGGCCCAAACCTACCGTACCAGGCCTTTTTTTCGGTTAATTTGGGTCGCACAAAGTCCAGGATCGCGGGGATGATTAGGGAATCGACCCCAAGAAATCCGAATTTCATGGTCCCAGAGTCCTCCTGACGTCTCTTGGGGGGTAAAAGGGGGGTCTGTACTTCAAGAGTCAGGGTTTATGTCAAAATTTTGAAATTATTCAATCGGAATCAGAACGCACGGAAATTTTCAACTAAAATCGACACCAAGAAATCCAAAATCGGCCCATCCGTGTCCCAAATACCGAACCCTAAAGGCGGGGGACAGAGCCCCCATTCAAAAAAATTCGAGTTCGGTAAATTGACGAGGAGACTCGGAAAAAATGTATGTTCATGGGTAATCGACCCCAAGGAATCAGAATTTGAGGGCCCCGTTGTCCAAAGAGACTTTTCTGATGGGGCACACGGGGACTCTGAACTTTTAATTTTAACCGGTGTGGAGGTTACCCCTTTGCCCCATCAGAAAAGTCTCTGAGGACAACGGGACCCTTAAATTCGGATTCCTTGGGGTCGATTACCTATGAAAACACATTTTTTCCGAGTCTAAATTTTGAAACACCGCAATGGAGATACGTGGTTTCGCACTTCAGTCGCTGCGATACGGACATCCATCAAGTTTAAATAGTTGCATCAAGTCCCCGTCACCGCCGACCAACGCGTCTGTCGATCGAATCAACCTCAGATAGCATGAGCAGGGAGTCAAAACGCCTTCAATTTTTTGAACGCAATACGGACATCCGTCGAGGTTGTATAGTTGTATCAAGGCGCCGTAGCAAACGCGTCCCATTGTTTATCGTTACAGTCGAATACAGGGTGGCCCAGACCTACCGTACCAGGCCTTTTTTTCGGTTAATTTGGGTCGCACAAAGTCCAGGATCTCGGGGATGAATAGGGAATTGATCCCACGGGATCCGAATTTCATGGTGCCTGAGCCCCCTTGGAGTCTCTTGGGGGACAGAGCCCCCTTTCAAAAAAATTCAAGTTCGGTAAATTGACGAGGAGAATGGGAAAAAATGTGTGTTCATGGGTAATCGACCCCAAAGAATTCGAATTTGAGGGCCCCGTTGTCCACAGAGACTTTCTTAATGGGGCACAAGGGGACTCTGAACTTTTAAAGTTGACCGATGTGGAGGTTACCCCTGTGCCTCATCAGAAAAGTCTCTGAGAACAACGGGACCCTTAAATTCGGATTCCGTGGGGTCGATTACCTATGAATACAAATTTTTTCCGAGTCTTTGTCAATTTAACGAAGTTGAATTTTTTTGAAAGGGGACTCTGTCCCCCGCTTTCAGTGGTCGGTATTTTGGACACGAATGGGCCGATTTTGGATTTCTTGGTGTCGATTTTAGTTGAAAATTTCCGTACGTTCTGATTCCGATTGAATAATTTCAAAATTTTGACATAAACCCTGACTATGGAAGTACGGACCCCCCTTTTACCCCCCAAGAGACGCCAAGGTGGCTCTGGGACCATGAAATTCGGATTCCTTGGGGTCGATTCCCTATTCATCCCCGTGATCCTGGACTTTGTGCGACTTAAATGAACCGAAAATAAGCCTGGCACGGTAGGTCTGGGCTACCCTGTATGTGTAAAGTCGCTTTACAACGCACTTTGGCGTTCAACGACACCCAAACGCCACATATGCCTGTCTTCCCAGAGGTTAATCGGGCAACTGACACCGCAACATCTTTTCGTCAACGCCCTGCCGCCAACCCTTTACAGGACGTCCCCGTCGCCTCTTCCCAGGTGGTACCCAATCCAAAACTTGTTTGGGCAACCTCTCCTCCGACATTCTTTGCACATGTCCATATCAGCATAACTGCCTGGACATGACGTCGTGCACGATATCTTTTCCAACCTTCATCACCTGGCGAATTCTCTCATCACGAACACGGCACACGTCTCGAAATGCCGGCAGATCGCCGCCAAAATTCCATTTCAGTTGCCCTCAACATTTCTTGCGTTCTTTTCGTGAAGGGCCACAATTCACTACCATAGAGCACGATACTTTTAACGATGGCGTCATTTATCCGGTGCTTGTTTGCCTTTGAGATGCTCTAATCCCAGAGCACCCCGTTCAGCATCGCGATGGCTCTCCTGCCCTGGATGATCCTGTCCTTAATTGCTCTATCCATCCTTCCATCCTGATCTAGCCAGACACCGAGGTACTTATACTCTTCACACTTTTCGATGCGCCGTCCATCCTCAAGCTCTATGCTTTGTCGTTGCTGCGCTGCTCTCACGACCAGCTTCTTTTTCTTGGACACACTAACATCCATGCCCCATTTCCGAAATTCTCCGACCAACTTCCGCGTCATGTAATCTACATCTTCCTCATCTTGAGCTACTACGATCTGGTCATCGGCATAGCATAGAGTATGAAAGGTCTGCCCATCAAGGAGTGGAACAATTACTATACATGAGGATACAATTATTTTCTTATTAATCTCACAAAATATGTAATACAGTTATTTTACGTGCGTACTTTTCGAGGAGAACCCACCTGTTTCAACGATGAGTTCAATTCAAGGATAAGGAACTGGACAAGCCACGAACTGATGCACTCCGCTTTCGGTTTCATTATCAAAATTTTACGCATGTATAAAATGATTCTTAATACTTAAGAAAGTACATACGTATTCAAATTCGATCTTAGTCCTATTGAAAAAAACATAATTATTGTTTAGAATGAGTCATCTTTCGTTTTTCTAATCTTTCAATGTCGTAATAAGCAGTGGAACTAAAAACAGGTGGTTGCTGCTTGAACAATGACGTTTCAACAACTATTAAGGAAGTTCATAACAGATAAATTTTAATCAGTAATTGATCTATAATTTTTTTCTGGGACGGACCTAAAATGTAGGCACGTCGAGCCATTGTCATAAGTGAAGTATTGAAAGTCTAGCTCACTATCTAAAAGTATTGTTTGGTACTTCGGCCACTAGACAATTTTCTTCACTTTTTCCGTGATGAGGTCTCGATTTCAAAGTAATGGCTTTGATTCTTCTTGCAATGGAAGATTTAAATATAAATAGGCCCGTTGTTAAATACAGTGATTTTGATGGTATTTGAAGTATTATCTATGCTATTTCTATGTTTTTGAAGGTGAGGTTTTTTTTTTAAATTCTCACCTTTTTGGTCAAATACAGGGGTTTTCTAATCCCCCCCTTCATTCGCCATTTGTACCTTCATAACTCTTCCAGCAGCCTGATTGTTGATAGATGACATAGGTTAAAAGACGGAGCGTAATTGGTCGGCTATGTCTTATAACGCTGCTTTATCGTGCCTTTGTCAGGTGGAATGAACGACTTAGGTACTGTCGGAAACTCAAGAGGTGCCGTTAGCTTGTCGTGAGTTCAACCCGACGCGACATAGGCACGACAAAGCAGCGATAAGACATAGCCGACCAATTACGCTTCACCTTTTAACCTATTTCATCTATGTCGTCCCGACAAACAAAACATTTCAACAATCAGGCTGCTGAAGAGGATCTTACATCTTTAAAATTGAAGCCGCCCGTGGATTTGTAATGCTCAGCTCAACGCTGCAAATGAGATGTCATTAAGATTGGGCAGAAAAAATAAGACACGAGGTCTGACTAAGTCTCTCTTATCTTTGGTTGAGTTGCTCATGTAGCCCTTGAGACACCATGACAAATCAGGCAAACAGAACCAATACAACATAGAAATAAGGCGACTGAAAGTTTCGCTCTGTATGTTCTCAATGATAAAAAGATGAAGAACAAGCCCCGACTATATATCTCCTATCTCCGCCTGTGTTGACACTTGATTCTTTCCTTTTTGTTATTGTTTAAATTTTGTCGACTCATTCTTTTTTACGATGCATTATGAACCTTCATCTATAGCTCGTAAGCTTTATCTAAAGAATGCAAAATTTTGAATCTCGAACATATTATGGCTGGACGATTGTATCGTTTAGATGAGGAAAATGACATTGCCATCCTTTATTTAAAATCAATATTAAATTTTAACGCCTGCATATTTCTAATGATTGGTAGAATAAAATCTGGTCTGCGCCACTCTGAATTTTAGCTTGGGTTCTGGATGGTTGATAGAAGATGATGAACCATTTTTTGATGACATTCCCTTCATCTCTGAGTTCTCACCATCTTTGCCTCATATTGGTTATACTTCACCAAGTTTTCTCCGTACTCTCTCATACCGAAGACGATGTGACACGGTTCAAGCTAAAAGCCAATAATATGGTACCATTCGTTATACCCGAAATGCCACAACACACACTGTCGGTACGCTGTTTTATACCTTTCAATTGCATCTAATTATTGCGCGAAATTTACGATGTATTTTTTAATGGAAATTTGAAGATTAGTAAATAATAAAATTATTCTAACACCAAGTTTTCATGTCTGAATAATCAACAGAGATTTTGAAATTTGAGAAGCAGTCAGAACTTCATTCTTTTAGGTATAATGCACGTCATGATTTCTTCTAGATACTTTGCTCTCATCAATGATGTACGAGCAACAACCGGTGCAAGTATTTGTCAATGACGCATGCTATCAAGATGGAAAACTTAGTATGCACCAACGCTATGGATGAAAATGACTTTCCATGATAGGCTATTTTGGAAAGACCATAATTTCGTACACTAGTTGCGTAAAATTAGCATTTCGACTAATTTTTAGTTATATTTTAATTGCTAAGCTGTTAAGAGAAATAAACAATCATAATAATATTTCGGCACTCATTGCTGACCTGTATTTTTTCTACAAAATGCCTAGCTGAAACATATTGAATATTTTGCCTTTTTCCTCTACTGTACATTATTCGCTCGGTTTACATATCGACGGTGTAAGTCGGCAATCACATAACTCGGTTTGCGACATTGCAGGCTTCCTGTCATACGTTATTTTTTAAACGGAAAACTACTCAACGGCAATTCTTTCAAACTTTCGTGATTTTTCTTCTCTGTGTGAAAACAATTCTGCATAAACCTCAATAAATGATGTCAATTTGTTCTCTTTTAAAAAAATAACATAGAGGCGGAAATTTTCAGACTTATCAAACGAGTTATGTGATTGCCGACTTACACCGTCGATATACCACTATACTTACGTTGTACTTAACAAATTCAGAATAATCGGGGGAAAAAGAAGACCCTTTTTTTGGCACTTTCGTGAAGTGTTTAGGAAAATACTCATTCTATCGGGAAATATGCATCCAGATGAAAACTTAATATGTGTTACGGGAAATAATTGTTACAGTAACAGCGAAGGTTACATTTCAGAATAAAATGTCTTGATTCGTGAAGGTCAGAAAAATGTCACTACAACAGATTCTTTTTTTCCACCACAAAAATTAATTGTTCCCCCTGTATCAATTCATAGATTTCTAAATTTTTCGAACGTCTGAGATAGTTTTCTCTATCGTGAGCAACTATTTTTGCCCAAACCGTTAAAAAAAAAAACAAAAAAACAAATTCTCTCTAGGGCTTAAATTATTTTAGATCGATGCAATATCATTAAAAACCAATTAATTAGTCCTCAACTGAAGATTCTGAAACAGGGAAAAAATAATCTATCAAATTATCTTTCTAATTTGCTCAAATGATCCACAGGTTGTATACCTACACACAACCATAAAGTCCGGAAATAAGATTAATGGCTACGAAATTATTGATGAGCCGGTGAATGTAACATGGCCGGCCAAGGCTGGATCTTATTACACTCTTTTCATGATAGGTAATTTGATCGGAATGAGCTCTTCTGCTTATTTTGTATTTTTCAATTTATTACAGAACCTCACAGAAATTCACATGCCCCATCTAATTTTGGGATGGGGGGTGGCAGGAAGACGACTCGTCTACATGAAAGCTGGAATAACAAAGCAAGCCTAGGAGATAGTTGCATTGAGGTGATTCGTCCCGTGATTCTGGCGTGGTCGAACTTGCGTCCTATATTTATTATACTGCATCGATTAATTGAATAAGAAAACAAGAAGAAAAAATCCAACATGAGTATGTTGGAAAAGCGTGCCGAATAACTGAAATGTTGGACAAATACCTCTTATTTTCACGTCTTTGCTTTTTGCATCAATTGGTACTTTTTGCTAAATTTGGGAGAAAATATTGATTCATGAACGTTGAATGTAAATTGATTTTAAAGATTCCGTCCAATTATCTTGATTTTAAGCTGATATGCAGCATTTGCGCACGACCGTGATTTGGGCGAACTGCCGTGCATCGAAATCGCGTTCAGTTAATCTCTTTGGATTTCGAACTGTAACTTCTCTCCTATTCGGCCGATTTGTACAAATGAGGTCTCTTTTTATTTGTACTTCAACGGAAAGTAAAGAAAAACTCGCTAAATAGACGGAAAACAATTTTTGAGAAAATTTGGTGGATCCTGGCATCACGGTGAATGGTTAATCGGTTAATCGCCTCGCCGTCTTTTATTGCCTTGCTCGAAACCGGACACCCAAAGCTATATCGCGAGATAACTGTAGTGGTTTAAGTGGATTTCGGCAGGGGCCATGGTTAGTACATAGTATAATGAGTCACGAGGCTCATCACAGATTGCACTTACAGTGCAAGACGCTCACTGGCTATAGAGTTTTGGCGGGAAAGAAGGTTCTAGAGTTGAGTCCTCCGAGCGTAAGAAAGCTCCTATGAGGTTTCTGTCAAATTGAATAATACGGTTTTGACAGAAAAATGTTCTCAAGGGTTTCCAATTAGCAGTTCATTAGATTTTTTGGTAAAAAACCATCAGGGCTTGCCAGTATAATGGTTCAAAGACAAAGAAACGGGTGCGAGGAAAAAAGTATTTGGACGACCCGTTGAATAGCATTGGTTGATCTGTGTGCTGTACTATGGTACATCCGAGTGATTTCAAAAAACGAGCCCTACTGGCACGCTTAAAAAAGAGCAAAAGCCCCTGCGCATGAGCTTTAATAATCACTGTAAACCAAGAAGGTGGCAATCCAGAATAACGGAAGCAGGATTCTTTTTGAAAAAGATTCCCTCTTTCCTCGGATTCTATACAGTAATCGACATCTGTATAGGATGCGAGGTTTTTTCCCCTAAGGAAGCCGTTGAACTGAGGTAAAAAATGTATTTCATGATTTAGAAACTTAGTCACTGATGTACAGTTCCTCTTGATTAATATAAAAAAGAAGAAAAAGTAACACATTTTTGAATATATAAATAAATAAATGAAAATATCATCTGGAAGTATGATATGGGAATATAAATTGACACTGTATATTATTTTAGTATTCTAAATAAAACGGCTCCTGCAGTAATTAGGGCTGCTGCCTGTTCATCTTTACAAAAGCACTGTGATGTGTTTGTTTTATTTTAAATTTTAGGTCCAGATGCCCCAGTCCGTGAGCAGCCGATGGATAAAAATTGGCTTCATTGGCTAGTCACAAATATAAAGGGGAATGACGTAAAAGGTGGTGACAAAATCGCAGAGTATTGTGGGTCATTAGCCGGGTATGAAAGAGGTATGCCAGTATTGTCAGTTTATTACATATGAAAATGAAAATACGTTTAGCCTAATCCTGCATATTGATGCATTGGTACCATGCATTGATGATGGGCTCTGCCCGAAAGGCCTTTGGTGCAAATTGCTTTATATACATTTAAAATATGCAAAACTTGCCTTTATGTTCATAATTTATTACACCTTGCCATTAGGAATAATGTACTGTTTATTATATATCTTTATAACATTGCAGGATTTCCTTGTTCTGATAAGCACGCGTACTTGTGTGAATAGCTGAAAATAAGATGAAATTAATAAAAGTAGCGGAATTGCAAAACGGTCATTCTTATACAGCATAACTTCAGAAATATAGAAAAGTAATACTTTCTTTAAGCTTTGAGTCTTCATAACAGTCACTGGGAAGAAATATATTTTACAAGCATACATACATAAAATCCGCTTTTACAACGGTTTTGGGCGCTCTATGACACCTAGCCGCCAGAGCCCCCTATCCACCTACAGTCCTTCAAGGGGTAATTAAAAATCATGAAATCATTTTTCACAGGTCCACACTGGATAGTTTACGTCGTATACGAAAATTCAAGTGGGAAAGAAACAAAATTTGACGAAGCGCTCATAGCCAAGGGGTAAGTTTATTGTCACCTAATGTTAATATGTTCTCATAGCCGTTCTGGTTCTATACGTTCTCGTTTTCTCTGAAATTAACTTCCAAGCTCAAAAGAGGCTCTTAAGTTAAATCGAAAATGGAGGGGATATTCCACGCTATCCTGAGAGTCCACCTCTACATTAAGAAAAACTCTCCATGCTAAGATAGGGAGCAAATACATTGACAGGGCTGCCCCTTTATTTGGGGACTCTGAAACTGAAAGCACGGCAACCCTGCTGATGTATTTGCTCCCTATCTTTCCACGGAGAGTTTGTCTTGATGTAGAGGTGGACAATCAGGATAACGTTGGCTATCCCCTCCATCACAGCCTCAACTTTGAGAGCTTTTATTGAGCTTGGGAGTTGATTTCAGATTGCCGTTGAGTAGTTTTCCGTTTAAAAAATGAAGTATGACAGGAAGTCTGCGACGTCGCAAACCGAGTTATGTGATTGCCGACTTACATCGTTGAAATATGTGCGGCCTGATTGTGAGACCCTCAAAGCAGTTATATTTCTTAATGAGTGTTTGTTACTGTTCCTTCATTTTCCATGATGAAAGCATAGTTCTCCACCACAAAGAGTTGCGACCTTACTGTTTTTGTAAATTTTCATGAGAAAGTATTAACTTATATCAAAACTAAGAGTTCCGTAAATTTTCTCAATTTGTTTAGGTCCAAATAATTTTCTAAAATTCGCAAGGATATTTATGAATTGGATTAGGTACATNCCCTCCATCACAGCCTCAACTTTGAGAGCTTTTTTTGAGCTTGGGAGTTGATTTCAGATTGCCGTTGAGTAGTTTTCCGTTTAAAAAATGAAGTATGACAGGAAGTCTGCGACGTCGCAAACCGAGTTATGTGATTGCCGACTTACATCGTTGAAATATGTGCGGCCTGAGTGTGAGACCCTCAAAGCAGTTATATTTCTTAATGAGTGTTTGTTACTGTTCCTTCATTTTCCATGATGAAAGCATAGTTCTCCACCACAAAGAGTTGCGACCTTACTGTTTTTGTAAATTTTCATGAGAAAGTATTAACTTATATCAAAACTAAGAGTTCCGTAAATTTTCTCAATTTGTTTAGGTCCAAATAATTTTCTAAAATTCGCAAGGATATTTATGAATTGGATTAGGTACATTTTGCAAAAAGGAACCACTATCTCTGGTTCTCCCATAAAAACACATATCTATGTAGGGAAACTAATCGCATGTATGTTGTTTCTAAAATGGACCAAAAATAGTGGTTCTTTATTGCAAAATGTAATCCAATTCAAACTAACAAATCTCAAAAAATACTCGCAGCCTACGATTCTTCTATAAACTGTGTTGAAATATACCGCATGATTCATATTTGGTCACCTTTTCGCCAAACAGAAGGCTAGAATGAACCACTCAAGGATTAACTTCAGCAGAGGTCTAGTACATATCGACTCTATTGTACTCAATGCAGAAAATACTTCAAGCATAAACTGCTCATAGATCTTTCAGGTTAAGAAAAAATGTACAAACATTTGAGAATAATTTCATAAGAGTAAAAAAAATGCCAGAGTTTTAATCCAGCAAGACCATGTAGACTGCAGAGTGACTTTCAGTTTAACTCCTGTTAATTTAAAAAGGAATATAATTCCTCTTGGTTAAGAACGACTGTAATAAATTCTGTGTTTATATGTTTTAGTGATCCTTATGCGAAACGCACATCTTTTGATCTCGTAAATTTCACACGAAAATATGGTATGCGAGGTCCAGTGGCTGCAAATTTTGCTGGTCTTGATCTTCGATATGGACAGCAGTAACTAAAGAGTGGTTCGTCTCAAATGAAGTAATATATCTAGAGAAAATGGACCACTAGACAAGGTACGAATTAAAGGATTCTGACACATGTAACTTAACCAAAATTTCACGCAGGACACGAATCGCGCAACGAAAATGACTGAAACCGACTCCTAACGAAGATATTAACCTTTTTATTTCACATTGGTTACGCGGATTTTGAACTACCCGCTCACAAGAAACTCAAAGCTCTACATGAGCCAAATCGCGCACTACAACGGTTTCAGCAATCTTCTCAATCGAGCAATGTTCATTTCCCACCATGTGTTGTTCAAACTAAAAGCAATTTGCTATAGCTGAGCCAAAGCGTCAAGATTGAGGTTGCCAGATTTTTATATCGCAGAGACTGTCATGATAAACGTTTAGCGCGCGATGTGAATCACGTAGAGCATTGAGTTTTCATGAGCGGGTGGTTTGTATTCACGCATCAAGAATTATTGAATATCTTTGTAAGGAGTTGATTTCGGTAATTTTTGTTGTGCGCATCGTGTTCTACGTGAAATTTTGGCTAAGAAACCTGTATTAGAATGCTGAAATTCGTACCTTGTTTAGTGGTCCATTGTGATAATTTACTTCAATGACAAGCCAAACCCTTGACAACCCTCCCCCCCCCCCCTGACAACCCTTTTTTAATCATATTACTAAAGTTGGGTTGCCTATTATTAAATGTATTTTTCTTTTTAAGGATTAGTATTAACCATGTATTATGCAGAAGTCCCGATGAAATGAAATGATTTAAACATATGTGATCAAACGATCTAGTCACTCAAGTTAAGCACTTGAATGTTTTGTAAACAACAACATGTATGTATATTTTTAACTTAAGAAATATTTTTGGTTGTACTTATATTCGTATTTTTAACTTTAACGTCAGGAAGGACCAAAATGGGAATTAAAGTGCGCTAGAAATCATGATGTGAAGCCTCCCTAGGGATTTAAAACGGTTTCGTTTGCCAACAAAAACTCTCGAAAATGGAGATGTTGCAGGTGTGAGGGATTTGCGATTTGACTGTTGATTCTTATGCAAAAGTTTGCGAAAAACACGATGGTGCCACCGGTTTTCCCTGAAATCATCTCCCAAGCTCAAAAAAAGCTCTCAAAGTGAGGCCCAAATGGAGGGGATATTCCACCCTACCCTAAGAGTCCACCTCTACATCAAAACAAACTCTCCATGCAAAGATAGGGAGCAAATACATTAGCAGGGTTGCCACTTTATTCGGGGACTCCAAAACTGAAAACAAGGCAACCCTGCTAATGTTTTTGCTCCCTATCTTTGCATGGAGAGTTTGTTTTGATGTAGAGGTGAACTCTCAGGGTAGGGTGGGCATATCCCCTCCATTTTGGCCTCACTTTGATAGCTTTTTTTGAGGTTGGGAGATGAATTCAGAGAAAACCAGTGGCACCATCGTGTTTCTCGCGAACTTTTACATAATAATCAATGGTCAAATCGCAAATCCCTCACACATGCAACATCTCCATTCAAGTGACCTGCTCTTTTGAATGGTATCCCAGCGTTTGAATTGCAACCATTCCTGATGATCGAATTGCTGTCAATCACAAAGTTTTTAAAATACTTCAACAAGTGTCGGTTTCGGAATCAGATATTGACAGGCAAGACGAGAATGAAGGACTATTAGAGTTAAAAGGGTAATTATTCAGAATGCAAGCTATTATTACGGCTGTTGAATTTGATTTTAAGGAATATTTGATAAAGTTTTGGTTATAGGTTCTCTTTTCTAATAATTCTCAACTATTCTTTTTTGTTCTTTATAAAAATGCATATGTATTGGCAGTGTACAAAGCACGTTGAAGGATAAATGTACAACGAACAAAAACATAATATATCTTCAATACGATTACTGTAGTGTACTTTACCCTAAACGCTGTCAGATGTATTCAGAACAGTTCCTCAGGGCGGTTTTTACTTGGATTAAGAGGAGCCTTCATTTGATTATTCCTTCAGCAATATTTTACAAACAACTGGAATCGTAATTGGTTCCAATACAAAACGGATACTGGTCATTCATCTCAAATACAAAAACAAAATCATTCGATGTGGGAACTAATTAAAGGCGGAGCTCTGAGATATAAGGGAAAACTTTTTTCAAGGCGATGCTTTAGTTAATGACTTCTTCCTCGTTTGATCAATATGATAACTTGGTTTTCGTTGATGTCACAATGTCATTGTGTAACTTGTTAAAAAATAGTCAGTTTACATCAATAAGACGCGATTAATCGATATTGTTCGAATATTTTGCAATTGTCTCTAACGGGTATAAATCATAATTATCAGCTGAGATGTATAACTATGCATGGAAGCTATACATGCTATAGCATTGAAAATATTATGATACATATCGCCTTTATTTGTGGCATAAATTTACATACAGAAGTTTTAAGTTCAAACTTTCCAGTATCCAGTTACCGTGAAAGTTCCTTTCGGGATTTAAATGTGCTTAAAACGTTCCTTTTTTCAATTACAAATTATTGAGTCTCTGTCAGAGCCTTTCACAGTCAAAAGTAAACCACCAACTCAGGGAAATGAAATCATTCATTGAGGCATCAACGCTATTTTTTCTTCTTATAAAAGGACATATGGCCGAAACTCTTTTTGCCGGCAAACCCCTTTTAGAAGAGACACCCTCAGATAAAAAACAGATTCTTGAAAAGCATAAAATTGTGCCGGACGTATTTTCACACATGCCAAAGCATGTGATGTTTGTGAGTATCTATCTGTTAATCTGTTGTTCCTGTAGGGTGTGCATGCTGCATTCAAAATACTGTCGAAAGGGCCAAAATGATTTTTCTCTGAAAAAATCGCGAAAAATGGCTCAGTCAAAGCAAATAACATAAGTATCTAATAATATGAATGTAGAAATAATTAAACAAAGGAATAAAAGTTCATATACTTTAGTGTTTCAGAGATCGGAATTCTTAATTTTTTGTAGAGCGTTTTGATCGTAATTTAGGTGATTTCTCCTTAAAGAAACCAACTGACATCACCTGTTGCTGGAATTTCATTTTACAATTCATTTCGAAAAGTTTATTTGTTTATGAGAAAACGCTTGTGAATCAATCCTCTTTAAAATTTCTTGAAATATCCTTTGGGGTAATAAGTAAATTCAATGAAATTTTCTTTAGGATTGCGGTACAACCGTTCTCCTGTAAATAATCTCTATATCCATTGAAATGTGGCAACAGCTGATGTAATTTGGTTCTTTTCAAAAAACAACACCCATTTATAAAGTAATTATTTACCTGATTTGGAAGAAATATGTTGCTAGATTTACAAATGATCATGTAAATTGTTGAAAAGTGATCATGAATTTTTTTTTTTTAAAAATTATATTAAAAAATAAATAATCTGACGCAAAATAAGAAACATCTGTCCGAGAAATTCTTTGAGATGTTAATTTTAACACAATCTAAAATTTTCGAAAATGACATGTTTTGAAATACGAGTATCATTGTTTATTGTCATGAGAACGGAGTTCCCCATGATATTACAATCGTTCCGTTGCTTTCGCTATGGGATTCCCTATACCTTGCGACCTTGAGCGTTTCGCCCAGTCTCCGATTTTTGGTTGATTTTCCGATGTATCAAAAACCGTTGTATTTTTTAGCCAATCGTGTCTCTACGTCAAGTTGTGTTGATTGCTAAAATTCGCTTTCAGCGAGTTTTTTTCCACCTTGAGATGTCGTGTCTGACTGGTAAATCTGCGCAGAACCACGAAGTTCCGTTTTTACGCAAATTCCTTTTTTTGGGAGGTTCTGATTGGTTATTTTTCGCCATCAATTTTCTGTTCGTTGGTGCAAAAGATCGCCTACCTCGTTGCTCTTGAGAAGCCGCCATTATCCCACCTCAAATTTGAAAAATAGAAGTAAAGAAATAATAACCATCGTACAAGGTGGAAAATTGTTCTGGAGGACTCGTTACGGATATATGAGCCAAAATCGGAACTCGATTGATTGATTTATTCCATGAATACAGAAATATTGCCTGAGCTTACTGCCGCGATGGCAAATGCCTGCTGATATGAACCTTGAGACACATAATAGCATAGGCAAACAATGTCTCACAGAGAAAGGCGCTTAGCTCGTTTCTCCAGAAGCTACGAAGACGCGAATCGCCGAATCGCTCAAGGACAACTCTTGTGATAAGTCCCGCCCATCGTCCGAGTCTTTTAAATGCAATTTTTTCTCACGCTGTCGCTGATCTGTGATAGCCTAGTTGACTGAGGCGCCTCATACTCTGATAAGGTGCGGGCAATAGGCGATCGGGAGTTCGATACCCGACGATAGGTGTTACTTTTTAATGGTTGTATTGAATGTTTTAGACCAATCATCAAAAAATAATTAATACTAGATGATAAATGTA